GTGGTCTTGTTGTTGTTCTTGTTCTTGTTCTTGTTGGCGGCGGCGGCGGCGGTGGTGGTGGTGGTGGCACAATCGACTCTTCTTTGCAACAAGGCGCTCTGCCAGGCGCCCATTACTGTTTCTAGCCGGAGCATCTCCCATTCCACAACTGAAATCCGCATTTTAACTACTCTTGGACACTTCAGCAGGTTTTGCAGGCTTGGCCGAACAAGAAATTGCTGCACGGCATTGCGCATCCTTCACTGCTTCGTCCGATTGTGAACCGCCCTTCAGATGTCTGAAGAATGAGTAGCCGCAGAGTTGGCCTGCAGTAATTCTACATAGATGTCATAAGATTGATGAAGTCTACTGTAGGTGAGCTGCTTAATTAGCACCCTTGCATGTGAGGCCTTGGGTCACGTGCACGTCAGCTGCTTCATGTTCTGGCCCTGGCATCCTTTCTGCGGATGGACTTCGGGGGGATCGTGCCGATGCCTGGCAGCAACCGCATGAGAGAAAAAGTTGGGGCGTATATCAACAAATTTCCCCCAGGGTGTCATGCCCCCAGATATTGGAAGTGCAATTCTCATTCTAAGCGCCCCCAAAATAGGCAAAATTGGAAGGATCCGGCGGTGAAGAGTCTGTAAGTTCTGCGAGTGGAGCCTTAAACCCCAATCCCTACCAATCCCCACAAAAACCCAGCTTAAATCTCATGTTGCATGTTCTTTTCCATTTGATTCTCCATTGTTGGGTAGCACACCTCTATATATATATAGAAAGGATCCCTATATAATATGATCCCTAAATAAACCCTACAGAAGCCCGTGTAGAATCCCAGTACTATAACCCCTCTATAATCGCTGTATAACCCCTATTCAATCTCTCGATAGACCCTGATATAATCATCCCCATATAGTCCAGGTCGCGAGATGAGGTACCTCATGGGGTCAACGCTGCAGATGCTCTGGGCAAACTGCTGGGATTTGACGTTTCCGGGCACCTTGGCTTTATATTCATAATAATGGTAGTGCAAAAAAATCGTAATGACTTAATAAGTGTAGCAATCATAGTACTGTACTGCTAATGGCTAATAGCAACAGTCATAGTAAGTGTATGCTCCATCTAACAGGGTGTATCCGATTGAGGCCATCTCTTGAATATCGCACTGCTTGTAATTATGGTTCATGGTTGAACTTGATATGTTTGAAGAAATTCTGTGGACTTCTTATTCAGTACTGAGATGAAACTGAGGTTGCGAGTTGGTGCGGATTCCAAATTTGACGTCTGCTTCTACAGCCGCTTGACACCGTGGGCCTGAAAAAGCATCAGAATCATCGTGCAGTACCCTCGATCACAGGCCGTGGATGGCTAGAGTTGTCAGTGCTACAAGGCCATTGTCTTTCACTCTTCCAGAGCATCCATAAAGGACTCATTGCAACGATCTGCAGCTAGCTAGAATGAGGTCCCTCAACCCTACTGCCGAGAAGTCCGGTCAGAATGTTAGTGGCTTTGGGAAAAGCTGTGGGTGGAGAAAAACTGCTGCTACCTCGCAAGGTATTCCAGACTTCCTCTCAGACACTTTGCAGCATCGTTGCCTCCAGTGGCCGCAACGTTCGAGCTTGATGGTGTCTTGCCGGTTCCATGAGCACAGTGCAATCTAGGTTAAGCACCACCTGAGTCGGGATCTTTCACTTACGTTTCTTTTGGCAAAGAATGGCAAGGTCCTTTCTTGTGTTCAGGCCCATGTCCTTCGCACAACCCGATAGGAAGCCAGGCCATGCCAGGCCCAGTATTTGTGTAAGGCAGCCTGACATTTGGAGCGCAAGAGCAGGTTGCTCAGTAACATTTGCACGTACTTCGTAGCTGCCCCTCAGACTTGTGGAGACTACTAAGTGTCAGGCAAGCGTTTCGCATTTTCTGGTGCAGGTCGCATCTTACGACTTCCTGAGGGCACTACCCGTATGGATGCTTGCTTGCAGCTTCAATTGTTAGATGTATCGGACTTTTGCCTAAACTGCAGGAAAAAGAAGCTTCAGTGCCCGGCAACCTGCGGATGCCTGCAGTTGGAAATCAAGTGTTGTCTCTGAATTGAAAATCTGAAGCGCTCAGGAACTGGGAAGACCACTTCCTGGCACAGTTGCGCCAGCAAACCCTGCTGCGGCAGCTGCCTCTGCAGCACTTTCAAGGGAACGGTCCCCAGGCAGGACTTCCGTTGAATATTCTGCGAAGCGGTCTCAGCAGCAATTGAAATGAGGCACCGGCATAAGAGAACTGCAGGGAGATGGGAAGATGTCCTCTCTAAGTATTCGGTTCTGAGTCGCTAGGTCGACAAGATGTTCGTTCAAGACCTCAAATCAAACTTTGTTCAATGTGTTGAAACTGGTAAGTTGACGCGGTTTTTACGTGGCGCATTCACGTTGTAGATAAAGAAGAGGAAGTATAGAGGCAAGTAGAAAAACGGATGGAACCCGGATGATGCACCCCATGCAATGCACAGAGCCTTCCACATGCCGACTTTCAGTGACATTCACATAATTAAGGCCGAAGCAAAATCGATTCATTTGTAGGGTGACCCCCCAAGCCTAAATGGTGTACAGTAGTTGTACAGTATAGCATCCTCCAGGTATCACACAAATGGGTTTACAGGGAGACACGTATATACAGCCGAAGGACCTATGAGGTCCCTCAGCAGAAGAAACCTGAGCATACACAGCGACGGTGCGCGAAGCGATTCACCGGGGTATCAGTTCTCACCCCCATAGAGCTGGGAAGCTGTAAGGATTCTAAAGTCCCTGCTGTTCCCGTATACTCAGGACTAGACCTCGGGCTGCAAACGAAGATTTAGAGCATCGGTTGGCCATCCTTTGGGTATAGTTAGTGGACCCTGACATCGTACATCAGCATACAAGTTTCCGACCAGATGCTGCTGATGCTGGTGCCACTGCTGCAGGTTGCTTCCTGTGGGTAGTTTGTAGACGGGCTTTCAAGCACTGACAACTCATACAAAAGCACTACGTCAGGTCGTCCTCCATGTTCGGCGAGGAGATGTGGTTGGTCCCGGGATTCTTGTCAGCTACCGGTACGACTAAGTTCGGGGATCGACCAGCAAATTTTGAGCAGAGGCCTTGTTGTTCAATGAAGTTCACAGATCGAAGCCGTCCAATCTGAAAAGTACAAGGAAGCAATCTGGGATTGGCCTCAGTCTCGCCCACATCACTAAGGAAGAATCCCCGGAACTTCCCGGATGAGGTCTACTTCCACCTGGCGGAGCAGATTCGCCAAAGCTTGCCCCAGGCTCTTGCTTGTGGCGACTTTTGGGAGCGTGATAGAAGAACACACGGCATGACCATGGCATGATGATTCCTAAGCTAGGGAAAAAGAAGCTGCATCTATGATGAATTGAGCCCTTTGCAGGCAAAGGTGCGCGTCTTCAGTACCACCAAAGAGGCTCAGGCCGCTGTGGACTTCTCTGGTTACCACGCAGCTTTGCACAAGTCCACGGTCGTCAGATCTGGGTTAACTTTCCAGCGCGCAAGCTCCGATACTTAGGAAAGAGACATGGCCGTGCACCTTGATGGCGATGAAGTTGACGACTGGGCACACATGGTGTGACCCATCTTATTGGTCATGACATGTCCAAGACAGGGCTCCAATTAGGAAGCAACAAGAGTAAGAACTGCCCAGCGCCAGTTCCACATTCCCTGACAAGGCAAGCAGACGTTCTCGTTCTGGCGCCCAGCTCATTCTCGTGGGTGGCTGGCCTCCTCAACCCGAAGCAGCTCGCCGATTTTTGCGGTGCAAGGTTGAAACCAAGGGCTCAGCTCGTTGGTGTCCGAGGTGTGTGCTAGCCTTCAGCGGCACAGAGGCTCTACCCGACTGGATCGTGCATACGGGCAACCTGAAATCAAGGGAACGAGCCCAGCTCAAAAAGTGCATTCAAGACCGCATCTTAGCGCGGAGATAGCGCAGACAAAAATGCTGACCTGCGACGTAAGCTCAGCAGCGCTTTTTGCTTTCCTTTCTGCTTTCTTTGACTGAGTTCGTGCGTTGTAAGAGATTAAGACAAGATGCATTTCAAGGGGTGTGGAGCTGCGTGTGTGACTGGCTCTTCTACTGCCCTGTGGCCAGGTTTCGTGCTGCCTGAACTGGCCTGTTTACTTCATGCCGTGGCTTGCAACATCTAGCCATGCCATCTAATCGAGTCAAAGCCTTCGTCTAGCCCCCTCTTCAGCCGCTTGCAGTCATATTGCGCTTGATGTGCGGCACCATCTGCCAGCACGGACAGTTGATAAGTACAGGTTGCTATTCTGCTGGTTGGCTGGCTTGTGTCCATCACAAACCTGCCTACCACGTTCCACAGCTGAAGCTGCAAGAGAGGCCATGCAAGATATGAAAAGTACGTTGGGCTTTGCCAGCAGAGCCAGCACCCGTGTCATTTTGCAATCGTTGGAATGTTACATGTGAAGTTGAGAGCGTTGCAGCACGGGGCTTCAGTTTACGGCTTGCGCGCCAGGCAGACGCCAGAGAAGTTGCATCGTCCCGTGCTGCTCAGCCCGAACGTGCCACGTGCCTGCATGGGGGGCGGGGCGTCGCAAACTTGGCAGGCAGTAAGGATCCAAGCAGTTTGAGGCTAACCGGGTTAACCTAGACTTTTGAGAAGATCAAGACACGCTCAAGGGTCGAGAAACCTATGAGAGGGCTACAGCCACAGGAAGAAGCCTGAGAGAAGCTTCACAAGGCTAAACAACCTAGACAGCTTACATGTTCATTCAAACTGAGTGCGTGGATGGAAAAAGGTAAAGTAGCAGCCCATCCAGAAGGCAAACACTGGCGCAAGTTTGCTCATCCCTGTCTGCATGACTTGCTGATCCAAGGATTTCTGGAAAGGACGAGGCCTGCAGCGAAAATGGACGCATGTTAAAGCAGAACAAATTCCATGCACAGACGCAAACAAACGCCGTTATTGGAAGGCTTGCATAGCATAATTCCTGTATAAGTCCCAACAGCCTCAATATCACCTATCTCTGATGTCAGGAGCATCTCGAATCCTGCCGCAAGAAGCTGAGGTGGGCTTGCACAGCCATACATCGGCCATGCAGATAGCGCAAGAAATCGATGCAATGCGTATCAAAATTTGCCTGCGCTTGCATGACTTCAGATGCAATTGCGGGACTAGGCTCGGAGACTTTCAAGCCGTGTTGCTGCTGGTCTTTGTAGGCTTGCAGTGCACGTAAGATATTCTGCAGGTCGCCAGTGAGACTCCCGCCCTTCCCGAGTACAAGTGACAGCGCAGTGTCAACCACCTTTGATATTGCCGACGTCTGATGGTGCACAGCATCTGTTTTTTGCACAGGTTTTTTCACAGCCAATGTAAGTCTCCCGAGCCTTCGGCCTTCCAAAGACTGGGAGAGAAGGCACGAAAGGCTCGGAACATTGTATAGTATGGTGTGTGGTGCATACCTTTGCCTCGCTACTCTGTGGCGAGATGTAGGCTCTTATCAATTGGGGAAGCCACCTCAAGATATCCTGACAGTTGAGTTTGCAGATGGCATGCTACCAGCACTATCATCAGAAATCTGGAAAATGTGAGGGGCTTGCAGGCACTGACCGCAACGGTCAAGTCCAGCATCACTCTTTCTTGGTCCACTGCTGGGGAGGGGTCAAAGGCTGGAGCGCAGACAGGGTTTAGGGGTCAGGGTTTAGGGTTTAGGGGTCTATCTCACATGAAAAAAGGAGTCTATCTCCCACCAGCTGAAAATACACAGCGGATAAAGGGTACCATCATGGAGAATCCAATGGAAAATTAAATGGAAACTACCATAAAGTTGATTCTCCATTATTTGGGTAACACCTCTCTATGTAACCCCTATAAATCCCTATATCATTCTGAGGCTGTTGATATGACAACTAGGTAGGAAGCAATTTTCTGATCCTGTTGCCAGCCTTCACCCGGGTTGGGGATAGCCTGGAGGCATGATCCAGCAGGCTGCTAGCGAAAAAAGGAGCAATATGGGCCATGTAGGGATTATATCTAGGGATTATGTGGGGATCATATAGGGATATATCAGGGTTATAGAAAGAGGTATTACACCAATGCTGGAGAATCAATTTGGAAAGGCGGGATTATAGAGTGGTTTCATTAGCGTTATATGAAGAAGTGCTGTGATTATGGATATTGATGATTGCATACAGGATTCTAAGAATTTTGGCGTGTGTACATGTTTTGTCTCCATAAATCAGAATCCTACCGCAAAAATGCAGATTTGAGAGCTTGTTCAATGTGCTCATGCAGGTCGGGCACTGGCAATGGCCATCCTTGACACTTGGAAACACATGCATGCATCCTCTCTCTCGTAGGTTGCTGAGTTCTATTGCGGCATCATGTTGCTCAGTATGACCACCTGCGCTTCAGAGTCCCCCTGCAGTTCTGTTGCATACCGTGTGGCTATGCATCCGCTGCGAGACTGCATGAATTCCCATTGGGTGGCATGGCCGGCATGCTGCTTAGCCGGCTGACGCTGCAAGGCAGGTGGCTTCTGGCTCAACAGAAGTGGCCACGCAGCCATACCACTTAGTATGCATGTAGAGGCACAAGATTCCGTACAGCAAATACCAGCGCATGCGCATGCATGTTCATGTTCAATTGTGAGCCCCCTGGCCCCAGATCGACAGATGTAGATTGCAATTTACTTTTGCGACACATGACACATGCAAGATCGCACGCATTCGCACGCTGTTCTGATGCTGAAGGCCAAAACCATTGCACACTACAGCAGCCAGCAGCTGGTGTAGTGCTATGGGAAATGTCTAACACTTGATGAGGCCCACACGCATGTATGGGCATGCAGTGCTGGCATGAAGCCCTTACAATTATCGCTTGAGGCGTGTGTCCAGCTGCTGTCCAGGATGCTGTTCCGTTGCCACCTTGGTAAGACAACATGGGCTCAATCTGCGTAGGGAGCAGGTTGCAGAGAATCTTTGTTCATGGCAATGTCGTTGCTTCAAATTTCCACTGTACCGAGCAAGGTCTCGTGTGGATGATTTTGTTACGGCCTGCGGGGCGTGGGGGACTTGCAAGTTGGCTGCTCGTGTACGGCAGCCGTATTTATATGATGAGTTGCTTTTGGAGTTGCGGACGAGTGTCCATGCGGCCCCGAACTCGATCATTATCGCTGACACGTCCTAAGGTGCCCGATTGGCTTTCTTGCAATGGCTTCGACGGCAGCGTGGTTTGCCCAGTCGTGCAATCTCTGCGCTTGCGCTTAAAATTCTGGACAGCGTGTGAGATTCTATGAGATTCCAAGAACCGATGCGCTTGTTAGAGTGAGATGCCATTGCACCTTAGCCTGTGCTTGGGCATTCCAAATCTCTACTTACCAACAGATGCAAGACGCGTGCACCCAAGCAATTGGAATGTCCAAGTCTTCCCACCGGGAGAATGCACAACAACAACAACAACAACAACAAAGGAAGCCATTGTAATACTTGGGTTGTAATTATTTGCTGGGAGCGACTCTGTGCAGGCCTCGCCAGGTATGCATTCAAAAGCTCCAAAAACATATAAGCATGTGCTTGAGACATTCGAGACTTGCTGCGAACACAGGTGCAATGGAGCGCCAAGTGGTGCATGCAGTTGGAGACCTAGGGTGTTTGCAAGGATAGAAGGGGAAACATTCTTGTCAGTAGGACTGTTCCGTCTTTGCATGCTTCAGGTCGTGCCTGCAGATGGGACTCCTGTGCAAGTAAACTGGCCTGGGGCTCATATAGTCCGAGATCCCATTCATGCTTCAATGAGGCATCAGAAGGGCACCATCATGTATAGATTTCTCACAGGCTTCGGGGTGGCAAACTCAGATAGGGGGGAACCTTATTGGGGTATATAGGGGTACAAGCACTTTGTTACATTGCTGTAAGTGGATGCGTTGCTTTCGGTTTGCAGCAGCGCTCCCGGTCTGGGTGGCACTCCCAGGGCCGCAGGCACGCCATGCGCTCGCTTCTGCGGCATCATTGTGCCCAGTGGGCTACCCATGCCAGGCACGTGCCGCGAGTAGCGGTGGTCCAAGTGCGATGTATCTCCGCTGGCCCTGTCCGTGAGCAGCTGGCAGTGTCTGGCTATCCCGAGAATTCCATGTCGCGGGATCTCCTTGACCGCTGCCTCGAAGCCGCCGTGGCGCGGGGTACGGATGTGTCCAGCGAGTACCATCCATGGCTACCTGTGGATCTCTTCCAGACGCTCATGATTGACATTCACACATACACTGGCTGCTCATGGTTTGTAGCAATTGTGGCAGCATGCTTCGGCATTCGTCTTATAGCTCTGCCTGTCTCCATCTCTGCAATTCGTGGAGCACGAGAAAAGGCCATCATTCAGCCAAAATACGAAGAGCTCATGGCAAAGCAGAAAGAGACGGCTGGCGATCCTGTCAAAGGCCAAGAGACCCAGCAGAAAGTTCAAGCATTTACCCAAAAGCATGGCAAGCTCTTCATGATGAAGGGCACCTGGAACCTGATCTTTTTCCAAATGCCACTGTACATCACTGCCTTTGCAGCCATGCGCGGTATGGCCAATCACCCGGATGTGTTCAGGGGCTTTGCCATGGAGTCACCACTGTGGCTGGACAGCCTGGCCCTCGCAGACCCCTACTACGTCATGCCTATCCTCACAAGCGCCAGTGAAGGCATTAGAGACCGAAGCTAGCTCAGAAAGCCATGATTAGATGAACGTTTTTTTACACCTCAGTCAGAGGGAAGCGCAGGTCATGTCAGAAGCAGGAAGGTCGGGTGTAGAGTTCCTTGTTGCTGTGGTTGCTAGAATTCTCTCAGGTGCCATCATGCTCACCAACACTGAACTCTTCGGCTCTGTGGACACTGAAGCCATGCCCAATGCAGGGGCCGGAGCGCCTGGCGATGATAGCGGATCAGCGCTGGGTCAGAACACGATGCAGAAGTACCAGAAATGGGTGATGCGCGGATCTGCTCTGATGTTCATCCCACTAACATCAGGATTCCCATCAGGCCTGCTATGGCGCCAGTGTATGGGTGGTGGGGCGTTGATTTCTGAAATTAATCAAATTAATCCCTATCTAGCTGTATGTGCAGTCAGATAGCCTCCTCTGCCGCAGGCATTTTCATCTTCATGTGCACCAACATGATCTTAGCTGCTGCTCAGAACCACGTACTGCGCAATCCTGCCTTGGAGCGTTGGCTGGAGTTACCGCCGAAAGTCAGCAAGGATGCTGACAAGGCTCAGTTGGTGGGCCCCTCGCCTTGGCCTCCTGCGCTAGTTCCTTTAGGGCTATCTCTGGACCGACCACGGAACGCACTGCTGGGCACTCCGCAGATTGCCAAGCCAGTGCCAAAGCCGACGCCCCTTCCGCAGGCGCAGCTGAAGAACATTCCTCCGCTTGTCCCTGCGGCAGCAGAGCAAGCACATTTCGAAAACTCGATACCTAAGGCAAATTCCAAGTTTGCCGTGCGGCGAGCACGAAGCGTGGAATCCTTGCCAGCTGACGCTTGACAAGCTGGCGCCCGAAAAGTCACGAGTGCTGCCTGCATGCCGGAAGGTCAGGTCCCACACAGGAGAACATGACCTTGCGCTTTATGGTTCTTCAGCTATCAAACTCCCAGATTTCCAACTAAGTCTTGCAAAGGACAGATATGGAGCCCGCATTTGTCCCTTGCCATGCTGCCTGTGCGCTTGGGCTCGGTGGCCGATGCAGCCTTGCAGCCACTGTCAGAACAAACAGGAGTGAGCAGGGAGTAGAGTTGGGTGCCTGTCTCTACACATTCTTGGCGTTTTCCGGCTGCTAGGAGGAGACCTGAGGGTGGCTGACGTGGGTTGCTACAAAGCCCTGCTTGCGCTGCATCTCGTCCAGCGAGACCCGCGCACTCTAGAAGCATGGCAGAAGGATTTGAAAGTTACCTAAGTGAGAGCAATAGCAACAAACAAACCAGAAGCCATGAACCAGTAGCAGTACAGTAAGCTATTGTAGATGTGGCTGGCAGTTGATGCGCAGCTATTTGCTACGGTGACCGTGTAACAGTGACGATGGTGGTCGTGGAAGCGGCAGGATCTACAGTCGCTTCGGCTCCCTCAAGGTTTCGGTTAGCCACCCTCAGACGCCAGGCATCCACGTCGTCGCGACAGATCTTGCCGCAGGTCCGCTGGAGCTCGGCTGCTTGGTTCCTGAACTGAGCTAGGTGTATGCGGGCATGATACAGAGCACTAGGACTGCGCAATATGACATTTATGGGGTTTCTCAAAAGTTTCCCTTTGGGGTCCCTGTGCTTATGTTACCATTTTGCTGTAAACTCATCCCTAGCATAGGACCCGAAGCAAGAACTTCAGGCTGACGGTCTAGCACTTGGGGCGAAACGTTTCGAATTTTTCGGCATTGGGATTTGGGTTCGGGGCCTGCGGGTTTGACAGCGAACAAGAGCAGCAAGACCTCGCATGTGGCCATGTGCTGTGTTCGATTTTCCTTCATGGGGTTACGATATAGCCCCGCGCATACACTTACCATGATGAACCGTATATATCCACAAAAACCTGTAAAAAAAGTATAAGAGTTCAAATGCTGCTTCGGAAAGAGCAGATGATGTTGGAGTTTTCTACAACCCAAAATGTTTAGTCAAGTTTCGTCGTAGCATCTGGCATCTGCAGATGTATGGACCCAGCCTGATTTTTCCCTGCTGCCAAGGTCGTGCTACGGCAGCCAAGTTGCCGGCCAGCCAACGCCACCGCGACTCGCGGTGAACGTCTAATGGTTTCCTTTCAGCTTCATCGGCACATTGCTTCCAAATCCCAGGATCATCCTAGTATATCCTACTAAAATTACCGCTACTTCAAGTCCTCTCCCAGCGGCAGCAAGGTATCGAGTTCCGTCAGGGTGATGGACTGTCAGCACTTGCTGCGGGCGAGGTGGACGTGGTCTGCATCGCAGGCATACCCGCAGGTCGGCCATTGTGCAACTGGAACCTCATCTACGTGTAAATTGTGTACATGTACGCATGCACATCAACGCACATATACACTGTAAGAAGTACAAACATCAATGGGCAAATTATCACGATTTCACCCACACTTGCAGGCAAGTTGAGCACCTGGATCCCTTCACCGCGCTTTGCGCAGCGCCTGGTGGTGCAGCCGACGGTACCCACTGCCCCAGAGGCAGCAACACGCAATACTATCCAATGTATATCGCAGAACAGCTTTGCAAGGATTTTTGAGCCAGCACTACTGCACGAGGCAATGATGGAGCTCCGCGGCACCCTGGGCAGTCGCGGCTGGTGCTTGCATGATGAGGTGCTGAGCGTTGAGAAAGGCGGGAACCTGCAACATCATGCCAATGTATACGATGAAAGAAAAGTCACAGTCAAAAATGGCCTCATGGTCGAGAATGGTGAGAGCACTTCATGCCAGAGATGCTGCAATGCAGATGCCAAGAGAAAGACTTTGCCAGCAATTAAAGGCGGGACGTGTCTCACTCTCATAGCCGAAGCTGCTGGCAGCCCAAGCCTTTGCGGTGAGGCCAGGCGACCAGGATCCAGGGCCCGTGGGATCTTAGGAAGTTATGTTAAGGGCCGGAGGTTGATGCGGGCTGCTTTGATGCTAAACCTGCAAAGCTCGTGGTGGCATCCCCAAACGAACAGACGTCCGAGCCTTGGTTTGCTTTAAGCCTTTGCCAAGACCGAGCATGACCTGTCATCCAGCTTAATCCACGCTCTGGAATGGAATTATAAGGCCCCCTCACAATAATAACCTTCCATTCATTGTTCTTGGGATCCAAGGCCGTTTCAATTTTCATGTTGATAAATTTTGGCTAGCTTTAACTTGTTGCAATGGGTTTTGCAGGTTTTCATGAGACAGTAAATTGATTTTGATTCGTCTGTAATGGATTTTGATTAAACGTATTTCTTTCATTCGATTTTGCTATTCAATTCGTTTCGGGTCTCAGAATTAGCTCGCTTATTCTCATGTTGAGAGCAGCCTCATTTAGTAAGCAAGTCAGGCTTCCGAACTAGATTTCCTTTTCTGACTTTCAAAGCAGCCAATTAACAAGCGGTACTGAATAATTTTGGAGAACTAATGATCCTGAAAACCTTTGCCATTATGCTCGGGGGGCTTCTCACGCCAGGTCCGTACGGGGTAGGCAGCTCACGAAGCCATGTTTGAGCCGTTAATTCCCAATGGATTTGAAAAAGCAATTCAGGCCTCAGAAAAAGCTTTCTTATTGGGGATTTGGGTTTCAAATGTTAGGCTTCAGCGCCTAGATCCTCTGAGTGATTTTTTAGGGATTGGGGAATCGCTTGCTTTAAATCTAGTATTTTTTTGGGCCCAAAACTGCCTCTGCCTGTAAAGTTATCTTTGGCCCAAGATTTTGCCTTAAAAGTTTGCTTTGAATCTAGGGGGTTGTATTGATTTCGTTAATCAAAAGCACGGATTGACTGCTCTCAGAGGCAGACCCACCGATCCTGCCGCTGGCTGTGCGCAAGAGGGTGCTGCAGCGCCTGCAGGCTGGCACAAAGGCACGCCCTGCTGCAAGAAGATGATGCTTGAGGTGATTGCACGCCTGCCGTCATGTATGGCCTGGGACTGCAAGGATGATGGTGAGGTCACAGCCTACATCAAGCTTCTCCAAGAGTAGCTGAGCAGCTTTGGTTGTGACTGCACTTGCATTTTTGTTCAAGAAGTGGGGTAGCTCCGCAGGGCTGGTAAGCTAGCTTATCCTTCTCTCTCTATGCTAGGGCATGCTTCTATATCTTTGAAGCCGCGTGCTGCACGGGTTGTGGCAGACAGTTGCCGACTACATGCTCCGCTGCAGTTAAGCTACGGTTCTTGCTCAGGTATTTGGAAAGAATCGATCCATGCAATTTGAGCGAGGCTGGCCGTGCCAATTGCTGGGCTGAGAGGGACGACATGTTGTAAGCGCCTTTCACGCGGCTCTCTGCTGCGCTGCTGCTCTGCTTCTGCCGCCCCTTTTTGTTGTCCCCCGATCTTCGGTACTTCTTTTTCGCCACACTTTCAAGCGCATCGCCCCAAACCACAATTGCTATCATGTGCCTCTTCTGTACATGGCAAAGACATTCTCAGCGTAGGTTTGCGCCATCTTACGGAAACACAGGACATTGGATAATTAATCTCAATCTCCTAGTCCTAGCTCTGTCAAAAGCTGACAGGCATTGCGGGAAGAGCTGGCTTCAATGAACACGCTGTCGCACTCGAGCAGCTGCTGACGACTGCTGGTGCTCATCTCGGGCTTTCCTTGTGACGCGGTGGCAAATCCTCCAAAATGGCTGAGACACCGCGCGAGGAGTCAGCAATGCCAGGTGCCTCACATCAAGCTGACGAGGCTTAATAGCCGAAGAACGCAAAGACCCATCATGCTAGCTGCCGTCAGATGGCTCTGCAGCTTGCAGATGTTTTGCTGCGACATGTGGCGCTACCGTTGGTTCGTCGGTTCGTGGCATCCGACAGAAGGCACCACAGGCCACCAAGCTGATGTCGCTCAGTAAGGCGTTCCACGCCTCGCAGTGGAGTCAGCAGCGGACGGCGAGGAGTGAGAGCAAGAAGGTCACGCTGCTTGCGTGATACCCATGATGGGTTCCTCCTACGGCTGTAGCTGCAGCTGGGAAAATGTGTAAGGCTTGCATGCACAATTCAAGTTAACGCCTGGGCCTTGAGTTCAGAGTCATGATGTTTGAGATGGCAGTGCCCTGGGCTCGCAAGTTTTCTCCTGGCGTTCTGCTCAGGCTGCCTGCTCCGCCTGAACGTATCCCGGGTGCTGTACGTGGGCAGCTCAGCCTTCAAAATTAATTCAAAACAGTTCCCTCTGTTTGTGCCTTCAAGCCTACAACGTCAGCCTGTTCTTCCCCTTTGGGCACACGTACAGCACCATGCAGTTATAGCGCTAGACCGAGTTTGAAGTGAAGCCTACGCTGAGGATGCGTATGCATTTCCGTCGCTTCCCTACCGGCTTTGGATTTGTGATGTAGGACAGCGACCATGTAGCTCATTCCATCGACTCGCGGAGGACACTCACCTGCAGCATCGTGACTTGCATTCGCCTCTACCTCTTGGAGATGCAGCTTGATTGCATGCGGGTGTGAAGCTGCTGACGGCAGTATCGTGCATGCCAGCCTTGGCAGATCTTGATCCATTGCGGCGACGTTCTGCTGGAGAGCAGGAAAGCCACTGCTCTTTGGCAGCACGTTCTCTTGTCGAGCTTTGAGCACTCAGCAACTCGTAGCAGCCCATCAGGTTGAGGACATGTGTGACCTCACGGACTTCAACAACTGGCTTGGTGGGCTCTCGCCGCTGTCCCGGCATTCCAGTTGCTTCCTGAAGCTGTCTCAACCTGACTTCTGGGAGATGTTTTTGGTAGACTCTTCAATGTCAAGGAGGAACAACAATTGCAAATTTCCATGTTGCTACAGAGACGTGTCAGGCACAAACACAGGCTGCTGGTGGCAGGGAACCACGTCAAAGCCTGAGATGTCGTCAGCCTGCAGACATGGATGACATGGATGTGTGATGTGAGGGGTGAGCATCGTGGAGCTTTTGCCAAGGATGGTGCGCTCCAGGAACTCCGTTCTCTCGGGGTGACGCGACTTCTGTCCCACTGTACATATCTGGAGGTCTGCCTCTGGTTCCTAAGCGTGCTATCTAAAGTTTGTTTGTGCATCTCTTGCAGGATGAATCGATCGAGCTGGAAAGTCACGGCCTGACCTGGCTCAGTACTTCGAGAAGGAAGCATGGAAGAAAGCAAGATATCATTGTCACACAGCTGAGGCTTGAAGATCCACGGATCGCCCTCGTCCAAGTGGAAAAGCACCATAACTTGGCGTGATCATCTGGCGCCTCCTTTTGCCGGTTGTTTGGGCTCCCATGCGACAAGCAAAGGCCACTGTCTGCAGGCACGAGCCCAAATGCTGTGTTTCAGAACCTTGGCAGAAGCAGGGATGAGCTGTTGGACCATCTTCAGAAATTATAGAAGCTGACATAAGTTCATGTAGCTTGATCGGTGAAGCTTGCCCTGAAGCTGAGACCCAGGAGCCAGAGCGGCTATGACGAAGCCAAGGCTATTGCCGCAGTGCCCGAAGGCTCGACAGCATGACATGGGTTTTCCAAGCGCTGAAGCCATACCTCTTGGTGCTGAAGAGGTGGTGGCGTAAACCCGCCCCCTTGTCAAAGTAGACAGGCTTCAAAGCTTCGATGTGAGATTTTCAGTCATTGCCAGGATTAGACATCCTGGTCACCCATGGGCCGGCTGGTGAAGGCTGTTGGCGTCACTGGCGCGTACAAGTTCAAATGCCACCTGCCAAATGAGATGGCCCCCGGTCCCATTTCCGTGACAACCCTACATAGTCCTTACAGCTTCCTAAATCTCAGGCTAAGCTTGTAGCCAGTGAGATAGCGACGCGAGGAGCACTGGGCCGAGCCAGTGAGAAATTGCAGGCAGGAAGCTTCTAGATCTGGATCAGTGAGTCATTTGGGGTGACGTGCAAAGCCCTTCAGCAGGTTTTTTGTGAAGCCTTTGAGCAAGAAGCAAACCGGGATCTCGCAAGAATGCCCGGGCTCCAAAATTGATGCAGCTGACGCAGGAGAGGATTAACGAAGTCGTTCCACGAGTGCATGTCTTTGGCCACTACCACCTTGGCAACAGGCTCAGCCTTATTAGATCTTATTCGCATGCATGAGCTGTCATATGACTCTGCAAGATCGCAGTTTTGGGCTTAGGTCATGGCGTGGTGTGTAGCGATGGAGCGGATGACTCAGTACAGAATTCCTCGAATGCGTCCTCATGCCACATCATGTATGCCGATGCCATGCCTAGATGGTTTGAGATTTGCTGAGGTTGTACAAGTGAACGCGCTAGGGGCTCAAGATTGTTCCAATACTTTCGTTGGAGCTGTCCACACAAGCAATCAGAGGGTCCGGCTTTGGAACTTGTGTTTTGCAGGCCAGCTTTGTGGTAGACGTGCTTGCAAATGCCTTCGCAAGGTCATCTGCTGATGCCTTTTTTGCGGTCTCCAATCCACCCATCGTGCTGGACATCGTCCCTGCGCCACGGACCAGCCCAGCCCTGTCGTCTGCCAAAAGAGGTGCTGCAGGATCGCACAGCAGGACGCTTTCCACCTGAAGTGAGCAGGCTTATCCTAGCTTATTACCTGTAGTTCGTAAGAAATCACGCAGCCTGAATCCCAAGCCTGGCTCAAGCTTTGACAAAGCGTGAAAGCTGCATCGGCTTCCCTGTCAGCTGTTACAGTGGGATGAGGCTGTCGCAACATTCGCAACATCTCGCAACCATACGTAACCATACCGTACACAAACCTTATGGTTGCAGGAGCTTGTATCGATAAGTCACGACAGAAGACCCAAGAGTTCCCATGCGGTTGGTGCTTCTCACTGCGCTGGCTCCTTCGCGCGCTGACTGCATCACTTAGAGAATTGTCCGACATCAGCATCGGTTTGGAACATTTGCAGAGGCTTGAGGCTGAGGCAACCATTGCACATGAAGTTGGAAAACGTTTGTTGCATTGTAGTGGCGGACTTTGGCCTGTTGAGGAAAGGCCTTTCAAAAGCTTTGAGGTTCTGGGGTTTGGAGGCTCGGCATCTTTACCTGCTCCTGAACTGGCCCGATACTGGGCTAGCAAGACTTTGGGACGCTGCGAGTTTTCACCTTTGATGGCATCATGCCAAGACTGCCGAGCAAGTTAAGGACCGCCTTATTCGAGCGAATCTCGATGGGACTGGACGGGAAGTGCTCTTGAATGGGCTGGGCCACCCGACTCTTGGGCGTGCATAGTCCCAACTGGAGATCATCTGCCCAATGAATCTTCTGGCCCATTCAAGGCAGGGTTGTTGAGCCTTTGCAGTACCAACCCTGGATGGTGGTCAGGAATGCTCTGGCTTTGGATGATGTTAGGCAAAAATTGCCGCTAGAAAGCAAGTAGGCCAATATATTGGAAAGCCAACAGGACTGCTGCAGCCAAGGTATTTTTCAGAATCTGACGATGAGTCGGACCGTATAATGCGCTGTAACTTGGACGGCGGGAATCTGGAGGAGCCATGCAGGCTGCTGCCAATACATCAACATCAGCAGGTCAAAGACATGCCTTACAATTTTGCGAGGAGGTGGTCCCCGATGTCCATGTCCAGGGCATCGCGCTCGATGCAGATGGCCGGCTGTACTGGACAGATGCCCGGCAAGTTTCCACATTTTCCACAAGCTGTAAGGCTTGGGTGGTAGCAGCACTAGCCGGCAGACACGCCAAACCTTGAAGCTTGCGAGAAGCTTCACCACCTTTGGGGAGTTGTTCTCAGAAGCAAAGGAGTTGCAGAGCTCTCAGATACAACGGCGAGCTTTGAACGGCTCAGACACCGAGATTCTGGAACCCTGGCTTTGAAAGAGGATCTAGGCCAAGGGAAATTCCCAGACGAAGCAGCATCTACTTGAAATCCGTTCGCGCTAAGAGTTTGCCTGCAATTGAAGCCCTTATCCAAATATTTTTGCGCGCAAGTGAGAAATTGTAAGCTCTGTTAAATCAGAGGTTGCCGTAGGCCTAGCAGTTTCTCAATGTAGGCGCTTAGTCCCAGGTTGTCTTAAGGATTCCTTCAGGTACGAGACCTGCAAGAGCCAGCAGGACTGGCACTGGATGCGAAGGCCGGGCTTCTGGCCAGGTCAGTTCTGTGCTTTCTTGCAGCTGTGATGGAACCTTTGGACCAGGCGGGTCGAATGTATTGGGTCGATCAAAGCGGCTATGAGAACTCCGGCAGGCCGCTTTAACCCTAAGCACAGCCATACCTTGTGAGCAGCATTGTTGTGTATTGTTGTGTGCCTGTGGTGCTTCTTGCATCTTCTTGCATTCACACGCAGGAGCATAGCTTGCAAGCCAGCACGTATGTCTTTCACACATGCCTTGCGTTGCAACGCAGGGTCCAAAGTGCTAGCTTGGATGGCTCCGACGTTGCCACCCTGTTCGACAACGCAAAGCATCCAATGAATGTCGCTTTGGACTCTGAGGGCAAGCTGCTCGCTGTCTGCAAGCACATTGAAGGCTGATCCACACAGCTGCCCCTAAGACATTGTGTTTCACAAGAAGGGACTCGCCTGTCACTGAGCACAAGTGGTGAAAAGGTACTGGACCGATGCAGGAAGCTTCGAGATTCGAAGGTGCCATCCTGACGGATCTTCGATGGAAGTGTTGCACAACAAAACGGCCGGATGCTTAGTAGTGACCGGCGTGTGGATGTAGGGCCAGTGTAGCAAATTGAGCCGGCACGATCGAAGGAGATAACGCCAGCACAAGTTATTGCAACACCACACGCCGCGGAGACCTCAAGCTTTGCCAGCTGCCACATTGAAGGTTGTGATGCTGCCAAATCCGAAGACTCCAAAATATCCGCTCCAGCAACTCACCGGGCTCCTGGACCCTCAGGGGATTGCAGTGGATGCCGTGGAAGGTCTGCCACCGGTCAGTCGGGTCAGTAAGGACAATGCGCACTTTCACCAGAAAAGCTGCTTTGTCAGTCTTGGTGAGGCAAAGTCTACTGGACCCAGCTTGGCACAAAATATACGAAGCCGGGAGGGCCTTCCGTAGAACGAAATGGCAAGTTGCAACGAGCGAACCTGGACGGAAGCATCTTGTCAGCATTCGTAGCTTTGGCTCACCCTGAAGGTATACCCTGAACATGACGATTTCTTGTCCAACGGCCCATGCCACCTAACATGCCGAAACTTCTTACCTTAATTCCAAACCTGTGTCACTGGTGGTGGCTTCTAGATTATGGCATTCACGTTGATAGCCATTGCTCAGGCGAGGTTGAAACTCTAGCGGAGTTTGGCGCCACGCAGCCAGTCTCCGTTGTCATCTCCGCGGGCCTATCCCCGTCGCACGCCAAGAACGAGCTCTAAGATCCTCAGCTTGAAAATCCTGGCAGGCGAGCTCTCCTGTAAGACGCACTGATCCTTGTGCTTTGGATGCGCTTGTTACAACACCAGTGGAACGCGAGACTGCCTTGCACAGGGAGTGATGCTTCTACGTGGTCAAATGTGGTCCCGCACCTGGTACTTGCAGATGCAGCGCTCCAGCGTTTGCAGCCAATTGTTTTTGTAGCAGCAACGCAACGGTGATCATCTTTGAGCGCCTGCATGGGAAGAGGCCAGAGTCAGCCAGAGCTGAGGCGTGCAATGCGGCTGTACGGCGTCATTCACGCATGGCATCTCAGAGAACCTCGCCATGTCCAGTTGGCGTGGCGTGACAGCATTCTTGGCCTTGCTCGGCCAAGGCATTTGTTCTTTAAAGCGTGCTTTCCGAGCACCTCATTTACGGCTTGGCAGGGCATCAGCGTGGAAGAACGGCCATCTAATGTGAAGGCATCAGCCGTGGATTGAGCAGCTCTGGAGGTAGAGCAGAGAGCAACTGTTGCGGTGGAAATGGACCGCTCTGGCTTCAAGCAAAAGAGGAGGTCCAGGGTGTGCGCCATGCAGCCCCCAAACACTCGGACAGTCACAGAATCTCGCACCAAGGCTAGCCTGTAGGCTCAAGTAGTCACCCAGTAGTCGGCTTGTATGTCCACCATGGCAGCTCCAGAGCTGGTGTGTGATCACTTGGTTTGGTGTGTCGAGTCCGTGGCCGACGGCATGGACCGGTTCGAGGCGCTGACCGGCATCAGGCCTTGCGTCGGTGGCCAACATCTTGGGTTTGGGACGCACAATGCCTTGGTGTCCTCGGGAGAAGCGTGGTGGTTATTCTAATTTGTGCGTTGTACATTGCGTTATGTTGTGTTCTGCAGATCATTAAGAAGCCTGCATTGGGCATCTCAATTCAACGGCATTCTTGCATCTCTTGCGAGTTTGTGCAGGGCCTAGGAGCCAGTACGTGCACCCAAGGAAGGGGTCTATATCGAGCTCCTGGCGCAGGACCCGTCGCAACCTGCAGGAACGTGGCTAGGAGTTGATTGCGAAAAGAAACCACGACTGACAACCTTTTGCGTCCAACGCTCAGATGGACAAGGAGGCCTAGATGACACGGTCGCAGCTGCTGCGAAGGCAGGATATGATGCAGGTTCCATCCAAGACTTCTCGCGAAAGAATACCGAAGGAAAGACGCTGAGATGGCGACTGGCCTCTGACCACCACAGGGCAGGCTTTGCGACACTTCCTATGGCAGGGCTTGTACCATTCGTGGTGGATTGGTCTCCGAATTGTGCAGAAGGCATGGAACATCCTTCTGCCATCGCCCCCAAGGGCTGTTCGCTGGTGGAGATTCGGGCATCTCATCCTGACCCGCCAGCACTTCAGACCTTGGGCCCAGCTTTTGGCAAATATTGCTTATGAATAAGTGGTAGTGTCAGATGCACTCATGCCCGCGCGAGTTGTAGCTACAAATGAGGAAAATCCTGGATGCCATGAATGTGAAGGGTGTCACGGTCCAAAGCTCTGAGCCTGGCAGCGAGCCATGCTTAGAAGCTCTCTTGGAGACTCCAAAGGGACGAGTCACGTTAGCTTAGCTCGACGAGAACGTCGCAAGAGCTATTGGTGTTAAATGCGGACACCAAAGGCGGAGGGTTGGAAGATGCACTTGTGCATGGATTCCTGGTCATAATACTGAAGCTGAACAAGAATTTCACAGTAATCTGTGCCCGCAACATCCCTGCGTACTTCTGCCGCATTTCCAAAGCCAAGCAGCAAGCTGCTTCTCAGCTGGGCCCGCCTGCTTTGCCTCACGCAGTTTGTGCTTGGAGGCTTGTTCTCGCGTCATTTATTTTGCTCACTCGACTTTTGGACGTGCTTCGCTTTGGCGATCTGAGGCTGGCATGCAGGCGCTGCGAATGCGGCATGGCGCAGCGCAGGTGTGCTTTTTCTGCTAGCTTTTGACACCATCCTCACCTGCCGCCGTCTTTTTGTCATGTGGCCTGAGCAGGTTGACCTTACCCACAAATGTTGATTGAGGCGGTCGCGCGCCACTGCAGATTGGGTCACGCATTGATCTTAGCCAACAAGCCCCTTGCGATTTCAAAGCTCTTGAGTTATGACTAAGTTATGACTGCCATCAAGTTGCCATCATGCTAACAAGATGTGGTGCCCAGGCTTCTCGATCTGTGCTCTCGGTTTGCCCACGCTACACCCACTTCTCAGAGGTGCTGTTGCAGACGGTCTTATTCTTGCATGTGGTCAACTTCAGTGCGTTTGAGGCAGAAGTAGGCGCAGGAAGCAAGGAAGGACAAACCTGTTGATGGCACAAGCCCTGCACCGGAAGAGGAGCCTTTCACCAGCTCCGGACAGCGTTGCAATCTCAGTGAGTGGGGCTGGAAGAAGTGCATAAAGGCTCCCAGAAAATTTTCCCTGACTTGTACAAGAAGTACACGGGGCAATTGGACATGGCGATGGTGATTAGGATCCCCGGTTGCCAGATTCGACATGCCAAGAGCCTGCCCAGACCCCATGTAAGCTAGCAAGAAATGACAAGAACAACTATGCACTGGCCAATCACTTGAATTCATGTTGGTGTTAAAGGAAATAGGGGCATGCGTGTCTAGGCCGCTTTCTAGGAGGCTTCGTGGCCCAAGCAACTTGTGGATGCCGTGCGCCTGACTCCCGCGGCTTGGAAGGACCAGCGAAGGATTGGTGTATGGCAGGCAGGTGGTAGCAAGAAAGCTGCTTAGACCTGAAAGTTTGGCAAGGCCTTCCGCGGGCATTCCACAGCATGGACAGGAGTGCTGACATGCCTCGTGTACCGCTGCATGTTGTGTAGGAGGGCGATGGCGCGTCGCGCATGTCAAACTCGACTATATGGGGCCGCTGTGGTCATCGTTCCTTAGCTGCAAGTGTGTTTTGCATTGCACAAGCATGCCCCAACATTTTGCACAGCATGCTGGCCGCTAACAGAATTAAAAGAAGTGCTAGTTAAGTCAACTTGCAGTGTCCTGTTCCTGCTGCGCTCTTCAATTCGCCATGACTCGCTGTGTGACATTTGTGGGTTGTTCTAAAGGTCCTTGTCTTCGGTTTATACTTGGGCGACCATTTCAGCTAGTTTAAAGGGATCGCGAAAGTTTCGCGAAAGAAGACGCGAAAGGATTACACTTTTTCGCGAAAGACGTGCGATAGCAGTGTCGTTCAGTAAAGTAAGATGATTCGCCAGAGGAACTTTGGATTTCGCGAATGAAGCATTGTAA